GGCAAAATGTGCAACAATGAGTGAATGAAAATCTCACTTCTATGCACACCCATGTTTATTGCAGCTTTGTTCACAATAGCAAGGAGTTGGAAACAACCTAAGTGCCCATCAACAAACGAATGGCTAGAGAAGCTGTGGTATATTCGCACAATGGAATACTATGCTGCATTAAAAAACAAGGAACTCATGCAATATTATTCAAAATGGTTGACTCTGGAGAACATTATGCTGAGTGAAATATCCCAGTCACAAAAGGACAAATATTACATGATGCCACTGTTGTAGAATGGGACTGTCCTTGGGGTTGGGGAGAGACTGAGTAAGATGGGTTCAATAATGTATACTGCACTGAAACAGAGGAGGGAGAAAACTGTTTAAAAGAGATATATAACTAGGTATTTCTGTCATCACAGGAGACTAGAGCGAGGGCTACATGGTGGAGGGGACCTGGGGGAGGGTTTGTAAAACAATGAAAGAATCTTTTCTTTTACTTTTCCATAATTTTTGACTCATGTACTTATAACTTGTTAGTCAAATTTGTGTCTTCTAGGTTGCAACACCCCCATGATACATCTTCAAGGATATGAACATGTACGGCCAAGCACAATCAATAAGAGTGCATCTAAATTCCCAAATCAATCTCCATAATAGTCTATGTGTTTCCTACTGCCAAAGGGGCCCTTTAGAGTAGTGAGAGAAGATCTTCACCCTGAAACCCACAGCGTCCCTTTTCAGCAGGAAGTAGCTAAGAGAATACGCCATCCCCTTTTCCTTATGACTCAGGGTGAAGTCTCTCTCAGGGAGGAGTGATAGGGAATGGCAAAGGACACACTGACAAAGGAGATTAATCAGAACTGGCTTTGACAAGCACTGTGGCATTTGGACAAGAACAAACTGGGAGGAGGGTAGAGAGAACAGTGCAACAATGAATGAATGGAAACCCAAAATCTCTGTAATTGTAATTATAGAAAAAAAAATAGTTGAATGACCTACTAAAGTAAAAATGCAAAACAAAAACTAAAAAGAACGAATATGGAAAATGGAAGCAAAATTTTTGAATAAAGCTGGCAACTTAAAATATTATTTTATAAAAAAAAAGAAAAAAAAGAAAATCTCACTTCTCTGTAAATACTTGTTAAAATCACAATTAAAATAAAATTTTATTTAAAGAAATAAAGAAGTATAACAAGTCTCTCAAAATTGTCAGCAATGTCTCCTATGCCACCAACTGTTTGGCCCTCATGGCAAAGGTCATCCATGACAACTTTGGCATTATAGACTCAAGCCTACAGTCCATATCATCACTGCCACCAAGAAGACTACGGATGGCTCCCCTGGGAAGCTGTGGTGTGATGGCTGTGAAGCTGTCCAGAACATCATCCCTGCATCTACTGACACTTCCCAGGCTGTGGCCAAAGTTATCCCTGAGCTGAATGGAAAACTCAATGGTACTTTCATGTCCCCAACCCCAATTTGTCAGTATTAGATCCGACCTGCTGTCTGGAAAATATGATGACATCAAGAAAGTAGTAAAGCAGGCATTAGAAGAAGGGCCCCTAAAGGGCATCCTGGGATACGCTGAAGACCAGGTTGTCTCCTGTGACTTTAACAGTAATAACCACTCTTCCACCTTTGATGCTGCAACTGGAACGGTCCTGCATGACCACTCTGTCAAACTCGTTTTCTAATATGACAATGAATTTGGCTACGGCAAGAGGATGGTTGACCTGACGGTTCACATAGCCTCCAAAGAATAAGAGCCCCTTAGACCACAGCTCCAGTGATAGCACTAGAGGAGTACTCTCAGCTGATAGGGAGTTCTTGCCTCCATACACTCAGAATCTCACATCCTTGACACAGTTTCCATCCAGACCCCTTGAGAAGGAAGGCTTAGAGAGCCCATCTTGTCATGTACCATCAATAAAGAACACTGTACTAAACAAATAAACAAAAATAAACGGTACTAAGTATTTTGGATTAACACAGACCCTTGCTGTTGTATACCATTGAGTTGAAACTAACCCGTATCAGATGCTCCAGTGGATTTTCAGAGACAGACATTCATCTTTCTCCTGAACTACTGCATACCTTTGAATTGGCAGTGCAACCCTTTACTACTAAGCCTCAAGAGTTCCCTAACTAGCATCTAGCCTCTCTCCAACTTTGTAAACGTTTCTGGGAATTTTCCATTATTTTCTTCCAAAATTAACATTCAATTTGCTTTTCAGAGCAAAGTACTAGGAAAAGGTAAATGGACACAAAACTCTTCCCATAACTTCCAATTAGATTTATATAGACAGTATGTTATCTATGATTACTTAAGTACTTATCTCCCTCTCTTCCCCTCCCTCAGTTCATATTTTTTTTAAAAAATTGTTTATTATTGCCCAATTATCTCCCTCTTGTCCCAGTCCTCTCTGCAGTGTACCTCTTATTCTGGGATGTTGTACGTATAATGCCTAATCATATATTCCTTTCAAACCATTCTTTCCTTCATGTGTTCCAATGTAGTATTATTTATCCTCTCTTTTCTTAGTTTCCCCCCAAACCTCATGTCAGCTCTATTTTATAACAATGGTGTTATGCCATATTTGTCCTTTTGTGACTGAGCTATTTCATTCATCATAATGTCCTCCAGGCTCACCCATGCTGTGTAGTATTTTATGAGTTCCCTGTTTTCTAGTGCTGTGTGGTATTTCATTGTGTGAACCTACTATAGTTTTCTATCCATTCATTTGTTGATAGGCACTTGGGTTGCTTCCATCTCTTTGCTATTGTGAATAATGCAACAATAAACAAGGGTGTACATATATCTGTTTGGGTGGCAGAATTGGTTTATTTAGGGTATATTCCTAGTATTGGAACTGCTAGGTCAAATCGTATTTCTAATGTCAACTTTTTTAAATCAAGATTTTATTGTAAGTTTATAAAGAACTTGGATTTCCATTCATTCATTGTTGCACATTTTCCTCTCCGGCCTCCTCCCTCCTGGTTCGTTTTTTTCTTTAGGAAAAAAGCTCTTTCATTGTTATACAGACCAATTTACTATATCACACCAATAACACCTAATCATGTATTTCTTTTATATAGTTCTCTCCCTTGTCTGTTTCAATGTTTTGTACATTATTATCCCCTCTTTTCTTAGTTTTCCTCCAACTTCCCTGTCAGTCCTGTTTTATAACAGTGGCATTATACAGTATTTATCTTTTTATGACTGAGATATTTCACTCAGCATAACGTTGTCCATGGTCACCTATTTTATATAATATTTCATGAGTTCTTTGTTTTTCAGTGCTGCATAATATTACATTGTGTGAAATAATTCCAACTTGTTAAGAAAGTTCTATACTCCCATTGACAGAGGTTGCACCATTTTACACTCCCACCAGAAGTGAATAAAGGTTTCAATCTCTCCACAGAATTACTGAACTTCTAAAGAGGATTTATACATTACTTGCTATGATCTAGTGACGTATAGTGGCATAGAGCAGCGAGTAGGACTCCTATATCTGCAGTTCAAATTCACCAATGGCTCATCAGGAAAACATGAGCCTCTCACCACAACTGAGTTTCAGTCTGCTATGATTTGGTTATCTGCCACCCTCTACCCAATATGCCCAAGATTAGTTAAATAATAAACTAATATTAGTATTGAAGATGAGTATTTCTAAAATTAACACAATGACCAAATGAATAATTCTTAAGGAGGAAAACTTAATGTAAATATGTAAATTACATATATCTAGTTCCTCTTAGATTGATCTTATTGAAGATAGTGTTTTATTCATTTTATTAAAACAGGGTCACGTAAAAAAGGCATCCCATAAACTACTACAGAATAAATAAAGTTTGGGGGGAAAAAAAGGCATTCCAGGATCCCACCTCCATAAATTTAATTCAGGCTGACTATGGCTGGGCCTCTATAATGAAGTTTTTAGTATTTCTCCGGGCTGACCCCTCATTACTCAGTCTCAGGCAGACCCTCCGGCGAGTTTCCGAGGCTAAATCATACCAAGGCAAGTGCCCATCTTTCTCCCATGGAGCTGGAGGATTCGAACCGCTAAAGACATGCTGCCCACCCTCAAATCCTAACACACACACACACACACACACACACACACACACAGAGTTATCTCAGATTATTTTCATAATGGCTCCCAGAATCAGGGTGGCCTGGGAGGGAGAAATAAATGATTTGTCCAGGACTATGCAATTATAAAAGCTGGCGGCACAGGGACGAGAAGCAGGCTCTCAGGCTCACTGCAGTTCTGGGTCCCGACCCGGCGGAACACGCCACGCGCCCTGTCCCTCCGGGATCAGGAAGCAGCGTTCTACCAAGGGAGCAAGAGAGCCAGGTAAGCAAGTTCCCCTGGAGGGCGCCCCACCCCAGGCGCCCCGTGTCTTCACCCCAATGCTGTGGGTGCACCGAGGTCTGGAATGAAAAACGTATGCAAACAGGAGCCCCAAAAGGTCGCCACCCACTCACTTCGGCTCTAGGTTTACACCGGTAACCAACTACTTTTGACACCACAAAGCAGTATATATAAATTAGGTAATCATGTAAAAGTTTGTAAAAAGTGTATAAAGTATTAAACCAGCTATGGGGAAAATATAAAATGGATGATTTAATTATCTTTTAGCTATACTGTTAATTTCCCTGCGTCAGCATCTATTTCCATGCCATCACTGTCTTACTAAAAGAACACTTTAAATAGTAATACTTTTTATGAGCAATCAGGTGGCATTCATAGTGTCAAAGAAATACAGGCAATGAAGATACTTGTTTTGACTCATTTATAACCTCTGTTCCTCTTTGTACTACAGTAGGCTATTTCAAAGGGGAAAAATAACTTTAATAGGAAGATTCTTATATTTTACCAAGATTTCCAGATAATTTTGTCTTGATGTGAGCATATTTTCATCATGTTAGGGGGAGGAATACTGGATAGCTAACAGTTCCCCAAAATACAAGGACTACAGCAGTTTTAAAAAGGACTTACTTAATCATTTCAAAAAGCTTTGGATCTGAGACCTTGATATTACGTGCCATATTCCAGGAAAGATGAACCATGGGTACTACTGACTTCACACTTTGTAATTTGTTCCATTCGTATCGTTCTACTGCCAATTTATACTGGCAGGCTAGGAATAAGAAAAGAAAAAAAATTATAAAGCAAGTTGAAGTGCCAGAAAATATGAAGATAATCATTATCACCTGCTTAGATGGTATATTCAACACCAATTATTAAAATTTAATAAAAATGTTAATTTTATGATAAGAATAAGAATAATAATCATGTACAGTGCTTATTTATATGCCAGATACTGTGCTGAGCTATTTTAAACATCATCTTATTTAATATTTATCATCATTTCACTAATTTTATTACCCCCATTTTATATATGAAGAAATTGAGACCTAAAGAGATTACATAACTAGTATTAATCTAGATCTATCTTTAGAGCCTATATTCTTAACTGTAAGTTTATAATGCCAAAAAGGAAAACACAATTCAAACAGCTTTAATCATAGTAGGGTTGTTCATATGGTCAAATAAAAGAAAATTAAGAAATAATCACTCAACTTTGCTATCTCCCATAATTAGTTTCTTTAAAGAGAAAAAAAAAAGAAATCAAACTAAAAATTTATCAGGATGGATGGTGAAGAGATTGAGATTGTACACAGCTTTAGTTTGCTTGGTTCCATAGTCAACAGTCTTGGCACCAGCAGCCAGGAAATTAAAAGGCGCACTGCCATGGGAAAGTCTGCTGTTAGGAACCTCTCCAAAGTGCTGAAGAGCAGTGGTGTCTCTCTGGAGACTAAGGTGCATCTGATACAGGCCATGGTCTTCGCAATCACCTGTTATGCATCAGAGAGTTGGACAATGACCAAGGAGGATAGAAGGAGAACTGATGCCTTTGAGCTGTGGTGCTGGAGAAGAGTACTGAGAATACCATGGACTGCTAGGAAAACAAACAGATTTGTCCTGGAGAGGGTTAAACCGGGTGGCTCCTTGGAGGCAAGGATTCTGAGGCTCCGTCTAACTTACTTTGGACATGTTGTGAGGAGAGACTGGTCTTTGGAGAGGGACATCATGCTTGGGAGGGTGGAGGGACGGCGCAGGAGAGGAAGGCCCTCTATGAGGTGGATTGATTCAGTGACTGGGATAATTGGGATGGGAGTGTCAGAGACAGTGCGATTGGCACAGGACAGAGCGGAGTTTAGGGCTGTTGCACATAGGGTCGCTATGAGTCGCAGGCGACTCGACGGCACATAACAACAACAACAACAACATATTGAGCAAGGAGACACTCTTCCAATTTTTAATGAATAATATTAAGGGTTATGATGTAAAGCAGACTAAATAAGTGCTCAGCATCTAAATTTTAAAAGAATTATAATTTTATGGATTAATTTTGTGCTATATCTTTAAGCTGGAAGGAGGAGTGGCGTCCACTTCCATAATAGCTTGCCTCCGGAAACCCTATGAACTTGGAGAGAGGATGAAAGGCACCCAAGCGTCAAGGACTCTCCTTCATAGGGTCGCTATGAGTCGCCTGCGACTCGACGGCACTTAACAACAACAACAACAACAATATTAAGGGTGGGGGTAGGGAGAGGAAATAATTACATTGGGTATAATCCTACATAAGTTAAAAGGTTTATTTTCTAAAGTATATTCTTGAAAATACCTGTAAGTGGACCAACATTCCAAGCAATATTGTTGCACCAGCCAATAGCCTGAACCCAATGTACAGTGCCTGCATTTATCCAGACCAAATCTCCAGGTCGCTGAATAAACCTATATACTGGAACATTTGCTTCATAAAGATCTTCAAGGTTGGGCCACCAAGAACCCATTAGGAAATTCAAATTGTTTCTGAAATAACAAACAATGCAAATGGGTTAAATATTTTAAATATGTTCCTTTTAATACTAAAAGATAACGACGAGAGTTTTAAAATATTCTTTTATCTCATTGATAAGTAATTATGTACTAAGAGCTGTTTTATTTAAGTGAATAAATGAAACACAATGGAATATTAGTAATTCTGAACTTTGGATAAGTTATCTATCTTAATTTTAAAAAATATCTGATTTTAGAACAAATTTTAAGTATTATTTATATACTGTAACTTTAAATTTCAATAAAGACCATTTTGATTGAATTCTTACTCTTGGAGAACCTAAAAATTCCTGAAAGGTGGAGTACATATCAAGTCATTTAAATCTAGAAAATAGAATTCCTAACCCTAATCTCAAATTTCTGAGGGCAATGACTCTCAATTTGCGAGCCATGGAAACCTGATAGTATGCTACAGGTAGGACTAGACTCAATGGTTTTTGAGGGGTTAGTCTAGATGGTAAATTTAGTCACTTTCCCCCCTTTTATTTCCTAAAAAATTCAGGTTACTCTTGAGATAAGTCTAGAACAGACAAACAATGGTTGGAAGGAATGGCTTACTGTTTGCTAATAGCTGAAGTACTTAGATCCATTACAAGAAAGGTATTTGTAAAGTAAGAAAATGGTTATTAAAGAAAAATACTAGCTTTTCATCAAGATTCATGCACTGGCATAATAAAATTAGAGAAAACTTTCTACACAAAAGCAAGCCTGCTTAAGCAAGTACTATCTATGACAACTAATCATATTAACTTGATATTTTTATTACTCTTTAGCATGTACTTCTTGGATAATCTTTCTTCTTAGAACATCTCTACATTGAGATAGCAAAGAGATAAACAGTCAATTTCAACTTAAAAATAACTGTGGTGTAACAATATACTATGAAGATAAGTAAGAAATAAAAATCTTTCTGTACAGAATGCTGATTTTCTGCATGAATACTATTCTTCTGTTACTAGAACGCTGCTCCATAAAAGCAAGTAAAAATTAAAGTTGATTAATCAACTTCAGTATCTTTTTTCAGTAGATTGAACATCTTATCTATTTAAATAAACACATTTAACATTTTAAAATTCCACCTCTCTGATGGAATTAAGTTAAAGGAAATCTACTGTTAAATAATAAGACAATGAAAAGGTGACTCACGCTTGTATGTAAGACTATTTGGTTTAATATATTTTTTTCCTGAGGTTTTTTTCAACAATGATAAACTTGTTAGAAATTAAAAATATTCTGAGTAAAGATCTTTTAACGCTAAAAGAGCAAAGTATGTTTATATGTGGGATATATGCATAATTAGTTCTCAAAAGTCTCATATGTTTCAGATGTGCTTTTTCTTTACCCAATACTCATCCTCAAACTAATTGCTGCCAAACTGAAACCAACTCACAGCTGACTCTTACTGGGTTTTCTAGAGGTTGTAAAGCAGATAGAAGACTTTCAAATAGGGAGTATATAAATTTTTCAATGTTTACCATTAACATAAAATATGAGGTGAATTTATAATGTAATGCTGTTTGGGAAAAAAAATTAGTAAAATATCAAGAAAGGGAGCTCTGGTGAAAAAGTAAGTAGGGAGTTGCACTGTTAACCCAATGGTGACATGGGAGTCTCCACAGGACACAGATGGGTATTTGCCTCTTGCCCAATGTGATAGTCTTAAAACTCACTGCAGGGTCAACTACAAGGTGGTTTGAGTGAATGGAAATGAGTGACTATCTAGAAATAGAATTAAATTTAAATTAATGAAAAACAATTTCTTGCTACCCTTTAACATAAGTAAATTAAATGTTGTTAATAATTCTAAAGGAATAAACTCTGTAATGTGAGTCGTTTCTTGAAAAATGTGAGATAGGTAATTAAATTTTATGAAATTACCTTGTTGGAAAAGTTATCCATGACATTTCAGTAAGAATTAATATCATAGTGAGGTGGCAATTGTGATAAAACCACTGCCCTTGAGTCCATTCTGATTCACGGAGACTCATTAGCAATTAATTAAGTAACTTATGCCACCAGAGCTCTCTCCTAGTGGTTGGTAAACTTACCATAAAGAGCTAGAAAAACAATAGGTTTTCCAAGTCATATGGTTTCTCTTGTAACTATTATTGTAGACTTAAATCAGTCACAGAGATTAAGTAAATGAATGGGCCTGGCTCAACTGTAAAAGTTCTTCCAGTTTTAAAATAATAAATACTATGATTTATTTATTATAATAATAATTATTGTTGATATACATACCTTTCAAACAAACTGATCTTGTAGGCAACTATCTATCCTCTGAATTCATGACTATTACATCATGTGAACTCATGATATTGATTATAAAAAAAATTTCCAATAACAAAATAGATTTAGAATCTCAATTTTACTTCTTACTGTTAAATAAAAACTGCCTTAAGAAATTCAATTTGGTAAGCTTACTTTAAAATTATTATTTGGATTATTATATGATTAAATAAAAGTTAGTTTAGAAACCTACTTTTCACAGAAGTCATTTAGAACACCCCAATAACTTTCAGGAACAACAAACCATTCACAGTCACCTGGACCAATGTTTATGTTAACTGAACAGAAGTTATTATTTTCTTGATGACCTGAAATGTGAAAGGAAAAAAAATCATCAGCATATATTTCATGAAAAATATAATTCCTTGTTGTTGTTATGTGCCATCAAGTCACTTGAGACTCATAGCAACCATATATACAACAGCTCTGAAATATGCTCTATCTTGACCCAACCACACTGTCTCTGACACACCTACCACCATTACCACAGTGAGTCAATTCACCTAATCCAGGGTCTTCCTCTTTTATGCTACCCCTCTACCCTTTCAAACATGATGTCCCTCTGCAAGGACAGATGTCTTTAAGTATGTACAAATGACAACAATCTAGTGTTATTCTGTTTTTTTCTCACTGTAGCATTTATTCGTTTTGTTGCTGACTGCCATTGAGTTGAGTACAACTCATAGCAACACTATGAATAAAAGATATAATGCCTTTCCATAGCTATTGTCATTTCTCCAAGTTCATAGAGTTTCCATAGGCATGGGGGTTAGGACGTGGATGCCACTCCTGCTTCCAAACCTGTTTTACAGCTGGGAGCTCCATCAAACACTATCCACATTGGGGAATCATTATGGTATTTGATACACAAAAGACATAAGGTTCAGCATCATAGCAAACCCAGATTACCTCAGTACAGAAAATTGACAAAAGAGTGATGTACAAGTAGAAGAATGTTCCTCCAAATATAACAACACTAGTCTCATTTAGCAGTGGATAAGTGCTGTCAAGTTGAATATGACTCATAACGAAATACCTGAACTCTCTTCTATGATTAACATAATTTTTATATGTTTATAGAGTTTCCAGAGGCAAGTGGTTTAAGAAGTAGATGCCACTCCTGCTTATTAACCTGAATCAATCTGGAAGCTCCTTCGAACACTGTCCATGATGAGTAACTATTATGATATTTGACACGACTATGGCAGTGTTGAGCATCACAGCAACTCCAAGTTATTCAGTATAGAAATAGACATATGACTGCCGTACCACTTAAAGAATGTTCATTAAAAAATTAATAAATTTGGCCAGAGGGCCCTACAGAATTTTAAAGACACACTCCTGGGTCTTTGTTGGCCAAAAGGGGGAAAGTCCAGCGGACACCCACTTGTAGAGGGGAAAGAAACCAATATAAATTAACCACAACTCAAAACTTTCCTTACGTGACCCAAATCAAGATGCGAGAAGTACTTCTTTGGAAAACAATAAATATTGTGGTTAAGAGACTGGGCTTGAGGCTTGGCCATTAGGGAAACTTGTCAAATGTTTCTGGCTAAGTTTTGTCTGACTGAGATTTTCCTAAAGAATTGATTTGTAGGAGCCTTCCTTTAGTTACCCCTAACATGGAACTGGCTAGAGAGAAGATGTTCTCAAAGAAAGGGACTCTGCTTGAGAACAGAAGATGACAAAACAATTTGTGAATATAGTGCCACACAAACCAGTATGTATGCCAGTGTTGTGTCATGTGTGGGCTGTTTGGTCATTGTGATATAATTAATAATCAGTTGTGGGCTGGGAAACTCATTTAAATTAATTAGAACTTGCTAGGTGGGTCTTTGTGATTAAAAGTTGGTTGGGGATAGGAAGACTCAATATTATGAAAATGACAATACTACCAAAGGCAATTTACACATTCAAAGCAATCCCAATACAAATACCAATTCCATTCTTCAGCGAGATGGAAAAGGCAATCTCCAATTTCATTTGGAATGGAAAGAGGCCCAGAATAAGCAAAGTACTCCTTAAAAAGAAAAAACAAGGTAGGAGGCATCTCACTCACTGATTTCAAATCCTACTACACTACCATGGTGGTCAAGACAGCGTGGTACTCGTATAATGACAGACACATAGAACAATGGAATAGAACTGAGAATCCAGAAATCAGCCCATCTACCTATGGTCAACTGATTTTTGACAAGGAGATGAAATCAGTTAAGTGGGGAAATGACAACCTTTTTAACAAATGGTGCTAGTAAAATTGGGAAACTTCTGCAGAAAACTCAAGCAAGATCCACACCTCACTCCATACACAAAAACCAATTCAAAGTGGATTATGGACCTAGGACTAAAACCAAGGACTATAAACTTCATTGAAGAAAAGCTTGGAAGAACTCCAGAAGTGCTAATCCATAACATAAACAGTCTTCCAAGTATCCTGAAAAATCTACAACCAGGAGAAGATAAAATAGATGAATGGGATCTTCTAAGAATCAAATCCCTATGCACACCCAAAAACTTCTTCAACAGGGTAAAAAGGGAAGCCACAGACTGGGAAAAAGTATTTGATAATGACATGTCAGATAAGGGGCTTATATCTAGAATTTATAAAATACTTGAGCACCACAACAAGATAAAGGTGAATAATCCAATTGAAAAATGGTCACAGGATATGAAAGACACTTAACCAAGGAAGACATTCAGATGGCCAACAAGCACATGAAGAAGTGTTCAAAATCCTTACCTCTAAGAGAGATGCAAATCAAAACAACTATGAGATATCATCTTACCCCAGTAAGAATAGCAAAATTTAACAGAACAGCAAGCAACAAATGCTGGCGAGGTTGTGGAGAAACTGGAACCCTTATTCAGTGTTGATGGAAGTGTAAAATGGTGCAACCACTGTGGAGGGCGGTATAGCGCTTTCTCAAAAAGTTGCAAATAGAGAATTCCAGGAATTCCACTACTGGGAATATACCCCAAAGAGACCATAACTGACATCCAAGCACACCCATGTTTATTGCGGCTTTGTTCACAATAGCAAGGAGTTGGAAACAACCCAAGTGCCCATCAACAAACGAATGGATAGAGAAGCTGTGGTATATTCACACAATGGAATAGTGCTGCATTGAAAAACAAGGAACTCATGTAATATTATTCAAAATGGATGACCCTGGAGAACATTATGCTGAGTGAAATATCTCAGTCACAAAAGGACAAATACTACATGTTGTAAAACAGGACTGACCTCGGAGTTGGGGGGAGACTGAGAGAGATGAGATAAATAATGGATACTGCATTGAAACAGATGAGGGAGAAAACTGTTTAAAGGGCATACGCGATTAGGTATTTTTGTCATGACAGGAGTCCAGAATGAAGACTGCATAGTGGAGTGGACCTGGGGGGAGGGATTATAAAACAATGGGGTAACTTTTCTTTTACTTTTCAAAGAGAAGAGTGTACTGGGGGGGAGGGGTGGGCAGGGAGAAAAGTACAACAATGAATGAAGGGAAATCCAAAATCTCTGTAAATGTTCATTAAAATTAATAAGAAAAAAATGATAAAAAATTAAAAATGAATTTTGAAAAAACCAAACCCCAAAACTTTGCCTCATATACTTTGGGCATACTGCTAAGAGGGGCTATTCCTTGGAGCAGGACATGATGCAAAGGGTCAAAGGCAAAGGATCAGTGAAGCAGAGAAAGACTGTCAAGCAGGTAGACCAGCACGGTGACTGTTTCAATGGGCTTTAGTATGTCATGAAGTGTGAGTATGGCACAGAACATGGTTCAGATCTGTTATTCATGATGTCGCTAAGGGTTGTACTCGACTTAACGGCACCTAGCAACAGCAACAGTATGTCACATATTACATTATTCCATGTAAATGAAACATACAGAACAGGTAAATGTTGTCTCTAAAAACAGAGTAAAAACAGACTAAAAGCAGTAGACAGGATCTGAAGCAAAAGAATGTGAAGTCAATAAGTATATGGTTTCTTTCTGGATAGATGACAACAGAGCTAAAGAGAGTTGTAACAATTACATAACACTGTCAATGAAACATTTCACGTAATTATTAACTTTAAATGTATGTTACTACTTAAAAAAAATGTTCGTTCTTCATCCTGTACATACCATGCTGAGTATTTTACTTATTAGCATTTTTGTGAGGATATTAGTCTTAATTAACTCTATCTGCTGAAAAGGTTGTTAGGTGCCATCAAGTTGAGTATGACCCTATGAATAGCCAACCTGCAATCCTCATCATGTCTGACACAATAGAGCCTACTGCTGAAATCACCATCTAGTCAATCCCTCTCAATGAGAGCTTCCTCTCCTTTACTGACCCTCCATCTTTCTAAGTATGATGTCCCTTTCCAAGGAGTAGCCTTGACTAGCTACATGTTTAAAGTATGAAAGAGGAAGCTTCACCATCTTTGCCTCCAAGGAGCTGTACTTTTTCTAAGACATATTTATTTGTTCTTTTGGCAGTCCACAGGATATTCAGCACTTTTCTCTAGCACCACAACTCATTGGCATCAATTCGTCTTTGGTAATCTTTATTCACTGTCCAGCTCTTTGACACATAGTGATTAAGAAGACCATGGCCTAGATCAGACACATTATTCTTCACCTGACATCACTGTTCTTCAGCATTTTGGAGAGGTTCCTGACAGATGACTTGTCGAATGTAGTATGTATCCTGATTTCCTGAATGGTGGTAAAAAAGGTGTTGCTGACCCAAAAAAGGCAGCTTCAATCCTTTCTCCATTTAACATAATGTTTATTGATGGTCTTGTGGTAAGGCCCTTTCTTTTCCTGATACTGGGTATAATGCATACCAAAGCCTGCAGTTCTTGATCTTTTGCAGCAAGTGTTTCATATCATCCTCACTTTTAAAAGGCAAAGTTGTGTCATCAACACAAGTTGCTAATGAGTCTGCCTCTAATCAAGAAATCACATTCTTTTAGATAAGAGTTTGGCTTCATGAAGAAAGGATACAACCCTTATTATGTACACCTTTCCTGATTTAAAACAGTGCAGTATTCCCCTGCCTTGTTGGACAACAGCTAGCCAAAATTGCCTAGGTCATGGATGCTAAATTAAGTGCTACTTAAGATGGGATGAGTGTTTCCCTTTAATCTTAAGGACAGTTGTGGGAAGATATCAAGGACATCATTTAAAAAGAGAAAAAAAATGTAATCAAGCAGACAGAAGTTAAAGATAAAAATGAATGCAAGAAGAGACTCTGGTTATTTTTACATTTCAACTGTATGTTAGTTCACAAAAAATACCTGGAGTTCTGCTTCCTGGAACTTTCATATACAGCTGAACTGTGTTCATGCCCAGTATGGTATGGCCAACATGGCTGAGAAGATTTCCTGCTGATACGACACGCACAAAAGCAGGAAGTTTAGTCAGCTCATGTAGTTGTAACTTCCACCTGTAATAAAACGGAAGATTTAGTGAAACTGGACTACAAAATTACATGGAATAATTTCCCAAAAAACAGTTGATATTCTGCAATTATCTTAAAATTAAATAAAAATACCATTTTATGAATTAACATTTTATAATTAACATTAGGGGAAAATGTCATTTAAAAAGCTATACAAGGGTCTGAAGTTAAGAAGCAAATCTAACTATCTGTTGCTATGTGCCTTTTGAGTTGTCTGTGACTCACTCAGTGATCCTATGCATGATAGCTGTGCACCCTGCCCTATCCTGAGCCAATCTCACTGTGTCTGATCTATTGCCCTAGTATCCTTATTGCCCTAGTCACTGCATCAATCCATCTCATCATCAGGGATCCTCCTCTCCTGCGCTGTCCCTCTACTCATCCAATGATATCTTTCTCCAAGGACTGGTCTCTCTGGGCAACATATGTGAGGCAGAGCTTCAAAATCCTTGCCTACAAGAAGCAATCTGGCTCAATCCTCTCCAAGACAGACCTATTTGTTCTCTTGACAATCCATGGTATGTTTCACACTCTTCTCCAGCCTCAAAAACAAAGGCATTGGTTCTTCTTGTGTCATCCTTAGTCATTGTCCAGCTCTCAAATGCATAGCAAGCAACTGAGAAGACCATGGCCTGGATTAGGCACATCTTAGTCTTTAGGCTGACATTATTGCTCTTCAGCACTCTGCAGAGGTCCTTGACAGATTTTCCTAATGCAATTCATCTTTTGATTTCCTGACTGCTGGAGCCAAAAGTGTTGACTATGGAACCGAGCAAGCTAAAATTGCTAACAATCTTCATATCTTCTCCATCTATCATGCTGCTGCCAACTGGCACAGTGATGGAAATTTTTGTTTTATCGAGAGTCAGACTAAAAAGGAATGGAGATAGGACGCATCTTTGATGCAATCCTTTCCTGATTTTGAACCATGTGGTGTTTCCTTGTTCTGTTCTAATGCCAGCACTGACAGTTTTGTTAAAGCTCAAGTCTACACAGAAAAATGATAAATAGTTGGGGGGGGGGGGGAGTTGTAGGCAATTTCCTGTTGGGTTTTTTTTTTGGTTTTGTTTTACTTTGTTTGTTTGTTTGTTTTGTTTTTTCTTTGGATCAGTTCTCAGAAATGATACAAGGACTTACTTTTTGTCATCAGACAGGTCAATGTTGGTCCCAAACTTTATGGTTTTAAAAGGTCCTTTCCTCCTCCTTCCAGAACTTTTAAAAAAGAGAGAGATTATTTAATACATACTTCTTAATAAACAAATACTGTATGGATATTAAAAATTACTTACTTATCTGAAGATGTGGATTCACTATCAGAGTGGTCTTTATGGTGACTTCTTTTCTCATTTTCTTCCTACAGATTAAGCAAAAATCATTCCAGCTCAGTATCTTAGAAGAAGTTACCCTTTTGAAAAGTATTTTTTAAAAGTTAATAACTAGCTTGAAGAAGCTTCTATAGGCCTGGTTCACCAGAAAATTCTTCAAATATCTCATTATACGATATCCAAGAAAAGTTAAAGCTCAAGAGCAAAATATTTAATCCTCTCCATTATTCATAAAATTACCTTTGTATTTTTCATTAAAATATTCTTCTATATGGTTCCCAAAACTGCAGATTCTCATATGTATCTGATATTTAAGATAGAGAAACCTTATAGAAGGTTGGATTAATTATGATAGTATCAATGATTATGAATATCAAGGTGACAAAACAATAACACATTTTCTAAATTAGATGTATAAATGTGTACACATGCAAAGCTAGTAGAAAGTAAGATGTTCTGTATTCTTCTGTTGTTGTTATGTGCCGTCGAGTCGCCGGCAACTCACAGCAAGCCTATGTACAACAGTCCTATACCCATCTCTATCCTGCTATCCCGTGCCAAGTTGTGCCAAAAAATCTAGAGGAAAACCACCTGGACAACTGACTGGAAAAGTTCCCATCTGTTCGCATTGTAAAGAAAGGTGAACTGACAGAGAGCAGAAATTATCCAACATTACTATACAAGCAAGCAAGATTCTGCTGAAAATTAACAAAAACGACTTGAACAGCAGCATATCAACAGAGAACTGTCTGAAGTGTACGCTGGGTTTAGAAGAGGTCATGGTACTAGGGATATTATAGCTATACATATATTCTACTTAATAGAAAAGTTCCTCCTGGCTGAAATTTTGTCACAATCTACTATACTTGAATAACAGAACATTTACAACATTAGTAAGGAAGGTAAGTGCTAGATTATTTTATTTACACCTCTACCATCACAGACAACTCTTAAGAATCTTCTAAGCTTTTTTGTTGCTGATATTACCTTTTTGAAGGATCTCTGAAGGTCTACTTCATAGGGGGTTGCATCACTTATCCAAAGACCAGTTACTCCTTGGTAGACACATGGAAAATTTCCTCCCAGATGACTGATAATCTCAAAAACCCAATGGAGGGTCTGCTATGATTTGGTTCTAACATGACGGTAATGAGTAAGTAACGGCTTCCTGATGTTTTGGCCTCTTTTTAATATGTGATTTTCAAATTTAGAAAAGGTAATGTTATATGTCTGAGAGCATACTAAATTGATTATGAATCCCTTCTATTTAAGTGCTCTTTAATCTACAACACTTCTTCCAAAATTTCGTTTGATCATTTTTTAGTTGTTCTGCTAATCCAAAGGTAGAGAGACTCTCTGGTAGTTCAAATCCTCAAAAACACTTCATGAGAGAAAAAGAGTCAATCTCCTCCTGTGCAATTTACAATCTCCAACACTCCACTGGAGGCTCAGCTATGAGTTAATTCTGACTCATCTGCAATGTTAGCCGACAATGACTTCTAGTATCCTATCATGCAAATACCACAGCAATTTGAACCACAGATTGTTGTTGTGTATTGTCAGGGTCAGAGCAGAGCCAATCTATAGCTGACTCTCCAGCGGGTTTTTAGAGGTAGTCAACTGCATAGGTGGAGACTGCCTATTTTCTCCCACAGTGTATCTGTATAACCCAAACTGCATGCCTTTGGGATGGCAGTGTAGTAGCTTCCTACCACTAGGCCACCAGAACTGCTAACAGATATTTATACTGACAATTCATTTTTGTCCATGTAAGTTGAAGGGTGGTTTTAATTTCTTTGTAAGATGCAGGGCATGGCAATGAGGGGGAAAAAAAACCCACTACAAAAACAGGTATTCCTTACATAATATGAATAAGTCTTATCTTTAATGTTATGTAAATTTTCCCACATTTTGAAATGACTGACTCAACAAATTCATCACAGTTACTTTCAATTGCTGCACATGAAACTTTTAAAATACTGAAAAGCTTTCTGCTTTTTCTTGCACTAAAGACTAAATAAGAATAGTATGTATATGTTCCACTACACTCTGGCAACTGCACATAATCTTTATACAATGTATAAGTATAAATGTAATCTTTGATAAAAAATAATCTCCGTGCAGAGGACTCAGGCTCCAGCTGTGGCCACCACATAGTGGATTTTCTATGACAAATAAAGTGAATTAAGTTGTTAAAAAAAAAAAAAAGTAATCTCAGTGCAGAGTTTTAAATATTTTTTTGAGGAGCAAATTTAATAACTTTCACAATGTCAGAAGATACTCTGTGATTATCAAAACAAATACAAAAGGGTGGTCTGCTATTAGTATCTGGTAGGTATAAATCAGAGATGCTACTTAACAACTGGATTTGGCCTTATATTGAAGTAGGCAGTTGGTCGCCAGTTTGGGGATGGCATCCAGTCTGAGATGTGTGGAAAAGCTGGATTGACAAAGGTGTGTTTTCTCGTTTTGGTTGAAGTTTGTGTGTGGAATGTTAGCTTGTTTGTTTTTGTTTTGTTTTAAAAAAAAACTTCATTCACAACTGGCTGGGAGCTGATGTGATTTGGCCTTGTACTGAAAAAGGCAGCTGTTTGCCTGTTTGGGGTTGGTATCCAGTCTGAGATGTGTGGAGCAGTTGGATTTGACAAAGGTGTCTTTTCTTGTTTTGGCTGAGGCTTGCATATGAGCTGATTGGATTTGCTGTCCTCAGCCTGGTTTTAATTGTTTTCAGTCTGTCAATTTGCTTTAGAGAGGTAACTCATGGTTGCTGTGATGCTAAACACTGTTATACCGATATGTCAAATGTGATAATGCATACCCCCATGGTGGACAGTGTTTGGTGGAGTTCCCAGATTAAAGCAAGCTTGGAAGCAGGAGTGGCATCCACTTCTGAAATAGCTTGCCTCTGGAAACTCTATGCACTTAGAAAAACGATGATAGTTACACAACAGGGTTTAGGACTTTCGTTCATATTGTTGGCTATGAGTCTAGGATTCGACAGCACTTAATAACAAGTGTGCTATTAGTAGCTGGTGAGTATAAATCAGAGATGCTACTTATCATCCTGTGATACACCGGAGGACTCAATCAAAAATTTATCCATTACTGAATGTCAATAGTGTCAAGGTTAGAAAAAAATCAGTTATATATAGAAACAGAACAGAAGTAATAGTCATCTTATCACATACTTATACTTTACCATAGCAATATTTATTAACTACCTGCTTGCTTAATAAGAGCAAAATTTAAAGCATGTGCAAAGTACTTTATATAATTACAATATAATATAATCATATTTACAAAAGTAAGCTGCCCTTTTAAACAAAAATAATCTTTAAATATCTAAAATAATCTCTAGAAATTACTTACTCTCAGTGATTCCTGGAACGAGGAAGCCTGGTATTGAGCATATTTAGCAATTGTAGTATGAGATCTCTTACTTTCACAATGCCAGATTTTTTTCATTCCAGTAGGATCCCAGTTTTCATCTGCAGGCTGCAACAACTGTGTCCTCACTTCGACCATGTGTTCATTGTTAGCTTCTACCAAGGTTTTGGTAGAAAAAAGGCCAAGGTCTTAAAAAATAAATACATTTATATTTAGTTAATAAGAAATTGCACTTGAAAAAATACTTTTAATTTTTTTTAAAAAGGGTGCACACTTCATAGTGCTTTCCCCAGATTCCTTGAAAATCAAAGAAGGCCTCTACACTTTCTTAACTGTGGAGTATTAGGTTGGTACAAACATATATGAAAGCCGTAAACCTAATTTTAACAGATAGATTAAAGGGGGTACACAAGTGGGATTTTCACTCATCTCATTTCTGCATATGCCTGGAAATACTCAGGGTATGGCAACTCCTAGAATCATAAAAATTTATCCACATTTTATACTTAGAATAATTTTTGTTAGTTAGTTTATACCATAATTTTATAATTGGGGGAAAGCAGAGATAAATTAAGAAGGTATAATGAAATAGTCATTAATCAATATCATTATATATTCACATGATGAAATTAAAGAGTAACACACACATACAGCCAAGAGAATATTAAAATAAAAGCATAAAAACCTGTAAGTGGGGCCATCACAGTAATTATGAATTACTGCCAATGTTTTCAAAGTTTAAAAAGAGTAAACAAAATTTTTTTATTTTCCCCTTAATTTAAACCTTACCTAACTTAAGAGCGCCAGCAAGGCCACGTATTACTGTAACAGGGTTATTTGGATTTGTACAAAATTGATGTAATGGAGGAAAGAAAGCATCACGTTTATTTTCCAACTGTAAAATTAAAAAGTCATTACATATTAAATTTTGAATAAATAATACATCCTCTATACTACTGTTATTTTTATTACTGTTAGAATTTTTATCACTATAGCTTTTGATTCTAATTTAGACAGTAATCACATAAATGTCTCTTGTCCACTTTATTTTGAAGAAAACAGGTGGCAGAAATAAAATTTAAATTCCGAAATATATCTTTTAAGAAAATATAAAAATGAAAGAAAAAAAAACACCACCGAAAAAAACAAAAAACAAAACACCCAAACAAAACCAACCCAACCCACAATAAATTCTAAAGCTAAATCTTAATTTTGTATTTTGTTTTCCTCAAACAATGATTTTAAAAGACTTGTATTACCCTTCTAATCAAGTACTGGTTAGAGGACATATTAATATAATAAATTCAAAGCAAGAGTGGCATCCACTTCTTAAACCACATGCCTCAGGAAACTCTAAGAACTTTGATTAAGGTAGATAGCCTTTTGTTCATAGGGTTGCTATGAGTTGTCATCAACTTGAAGGCAATCAACCATAAAATAACAATAACAACAACAACAGAGCCAAATTTCCAAAATAGTCACAGATGGAAGAATATTCTTCTTCTTGTTAATTGCCGTCAAGTTGGCTATGACTCATAATAACCCTATGCGTAAGAAATCTAAACCCTGCTCTGTCTTGAGCTCATCTGTCTCTGATACACCTACTCTTATTACCCCAGTTATTATGTCAATTCATCTCATTTCGGATCTTCGTCTCCATGTGCTGTCCCTCCACCCTTCCAAGCAATATTCTCATTTATATTGTTGTGAACCGTCCTATAGCTATCCTTCCAGTAGGTTTTCAGAGGCAGTTAATTGCACAAGAGGAGACTGCCCATCCTTCTCCCACAGAGCAGCTGGTGGATTCAAATGCGTGCCTTTGGGATTGCAGTGCAGCTTAATAACCCTAGGCCATCAGTGCTCCCTAATACGCTCTAAGGACATTAATTTTAAAGCTTAAAATATTTACATTTTGAGAACTTAGGGTAGGAGGAAATAAGATAGTAGGATCTAGGTAGAAGATAAAGAAATAGGAGTTCTAATTGAATTCTCATCTTCCTATTAAAAATAAAAATAGTTTGAAATAACCTTTAATAACTCTTTAATGATATATCTATTATCAAATCTTATAGTATCAAAAAGTTTTAAATAATAACCTTTTTTTAAGATGTATAAAACAGAATGAATGTTAAGGTCTATATAAAACTAGGAAGAGGCAGAATGTTGATTTATAATCCATTTTACCAAAAATGTTGTATTTGTAGGTAATTTTCGCCTAAAACTGCCCAAGAGTGGGTCAGGACAAAGTATTTCTCATTACAATCATATAACCTAGTAAATAACTACAAGTAACAAAATTCATTTATACATTCATTCCCAAAATATTCATGTTGCTGACAACAATTTTGTTGTTTACTAAAAGATGTATGCATAAAGTTAAAGAAAAATAATCTAAGACAGGTAAATCCCCAGTTTGATTTCTTGCTAGCCAATCAATTTAGACTCACATAAATACTAGGTGTAGGTGGATTCAACTTGTCCTTTGGCAAGGGAGGGTATGGTGAAGATGGTGGTCTTGGAGGTGGACATTTATCCAACAAAATGCTGTTAGACAAGCCATTTTTACCTAGATTCCTTTGGGAGAAGGAGAGAGAAAAAAAAATCAATTATGAGACTGAAAAAAATCAATTATGAGACTGAAAAAAAGCAATTTAATAAACTGGAGGTAAAACTCTTCTGAGGATTAAATAAAAATTCAGGATGATGATAGGTATGATCAGATTTTTTTAAATAAAGTTCAATGCGGGGGAGGGCTGGGCAGGGAGAAAAGTGAAACAATGAATGAATGGAAATCCAAAATCCCTGTAAATGTTCATTAAAATTAATAAAATAATTTTTTTAAAAAAT